TGCATATCTATGTGTGTGTGCAACCTAATACAACGTGTGTGGGTGTAAATGCGTATTATCACACATTTGTAAGTTCATAGAAACCAGGCTGGAAGAGAGACCCGAGTGGGACTCTGGGGCAAGGCTGGGGTGAGGGAGGGCATGAGGGAGCGCTTCCAGGTCCTGCTTCGCGCATTCATGTGTCATCTGAGTCTTTTCCAACGAGCAGGTATTGACGTATCCATGGTATAATTACATTTTTTAAAAAGCGTTTTAAGACTCAGGTGGCACTGAGCTAGATGGCTCATGGCATAATGACCTAGTATTATCCACGATCCAGAGGTAATTTGCTGGGCCCTAAGTGTGCTGAGTGGCTGTCATTCTTGGATAAGGGATGTGGAAGTATAACCAGGTATTAGAAAAGACGATGACCTCATTCCTACTCTCGAACCCGCACATTTTATTCTCTCACTGATTCACAGCTTCAATGCGAAGGAAGGGATGGTCTCAGGCCCCAAGGCTGGTGGACCATCTTCTACCAGCCTCCCACCTGGCGAGTCACCCTTCCCAAGGCTGCGTTCCCGGGGCGTCATTCGGCAACACGCAGGGGGACAATTCTGCTTTTTGTGAAATAGACCCGCAGGTGGTGTTGGGGCCCAGGGCTCGGGACAGGCGGGGTCCAAGGCCTCCCCACAACAGCCAGCCTGGAAGGACAGACCCTCAGAACACAGGAAGTTAGAACAGACACCGGCTACATTCCAACTGGTTGTAAAAACAAAGCATGACTTTCTCTTGGGTAAACGTGGTGAAATGATTCTCCCTTTGAAAGAAGAAACCTCAGACAAGCATGCTTTTTATGGCATGCTCACCTTTATCTGGCTTTAAAAAAAAAAAAAAACACTCACACAGAGATGTAGTCCCAGTGAGGCCCAGCGCCCTGAGCCTGGTTGCTCTAGCTCCCCAGATCCTCTCATTCCCACCCAGGGGGCTGTGCCTGTGCGTGGCTCCTGCATTACCTACAACTTTGTTCTTATCTTTGTTCTTTAAGACAATGAACTTTTCGTTTTGACTTTTTCTTTTAAGATTTTATTTATTTATTCATGAAAGACACACACAGAAAGAGAGAGAGAGAGGCAGAGACACAGAGGGAGAAGCAGGCCCCATGCAGGGAGCCCGATGGGGGACTCGATCTGGGGTCTCCAGGATCAGGCCCTGGGCTGAAGGCAGGTGCCAAACCACTGGGCCACCCAGGCTGCCCACTTTTTTTTTTTTTTTTTTTAAGAATTTTATTTGTATTTTTTAAAAAAGTCATCTCTACCCCCAACATGGGGCTCAAACTCATGACCCTAAGATCAAGAGTACTGCGCTCCACTGACTTAGGCTGCCAGGTGCCCCTCTCATGTTCTTTTTAAGCCTAGTAAAAATTTCCAAGAGCAGACCAAAACTCAAAAACAGATTGTGTTTTAAAAAGAGAAGACCCGAGGACACAGAACTGAAAAAGCAAAATAAAGCAGCAGCCCATGAGGGCTGGCGGGGCAACCTCATCTGGCTGGTCGATCACTGCCGCCGGCCCAGGACTGGTTCGGGAACCTGGAGCAGCCCCTTCGGGCTGCAGGAAGCAGAGGGGGTGGTGATGATGAAGATGATAGCCATGGTGGAAATGGTGAGCACGTGAAGCCTTCCTCCAGGTCCCAGGGGAGCCCGGGGCCAGAACCGGGACAGTGCCAAGGGCCAGCTCCAGAAGGACCCCGCCCTAGGAGCAAACGCTAGGATTTCTTGCGCCTTCCTGCACCTCACAGCTGGCCCCATGAAGGAGGCTGAGGACTTGGCAGGCAGGCGGGACTTCGTAGAGTCCCCTAAGAGCAAAGATAGGCATTTCCTAAAAAAAAAACTCAGATTATTTTGCAGGAAGAAAAATTTTTTAAGATTTTATTTATTCATTTATGAGAGACAGAGAGAGAGGCAGAGACATAGGCAGAGGGAGAAGCAGGCTGCATGCAGGGAGCCCGATGCAGGACTCGATCCCAGGATCCCGGGATACACGCTGAGCTGAAGGCAGACATTCAACCACTGAGCCACCCAGATGCCCTGCAGGAAAATTTAATGTTCACCTCATTCCTTGGGAAACAGACACTGTAGGATAGAAAAGATGTAACCAGATTCTAAAATGAGACAGTAAACATAACACTCTACATTTGAACGTTTCACAGTGTAAGAAATGTACTGCCCTTGTACTGTGGCCTTCGATCCTATAGAGCACAGGACAGACAGGGTCTGGACCTCTGAAGGGACGAGGTTTTTCTCCTTTCTTGGGATGGCAACCTCAGTGGCGCGCTGTAGGGCTGCTGGTGCTGGAGATGCTGCTGAAGGGGGTAGCATGCGAAATGTCTCTGTACTGCTAGACAACACTCTCTCTCCAACATAATCAGAGCCCAGACAAGGGGCAGAATGAGGTGACACTCTTGCATAAAGCATGAAAGAATTGAGTCACCCAGCTCAGTGACTGGTACACAGTAGACGCTCAGAAAGCTGTGGCTCCTTCCCTGTCCTGCTATTCAGCACCTGGGGACTCCATCAGAGCCTCTCACGTACCCTAAATCACACTGAGGGGCAGTTACAGTCGTCACCTTCAGAAGAGCCGTGTGGCTGTCACCTCCCATGGGCCCCAGGAACATGTCCCGCCAGGATGTCTTCTCCTTTCTCAGGGAGACTGAGCTCCAGGCTGGAGCTGAAGTTCTGGAGCCACTCTCCTCCATAACCATCAGGGCGACGCGGGGAGTCTGAGGGAGTGCTCAAAGCTGCGGCCAGTGTCCCTAAGGGAGAGCGCACCAAGTGGGGGCCGAAGTCCCATCACCTTTGACCTTCGGTGACCCCAAGCCTAGGCGGGGGTCATCCAGGCAGGCTGGACAGACCACACTCCTAAGCTCCAACACCAGGTATTTTCAAATGTCCCCAGGTTTTGTTGGTCCCCCTCTCCCCAGCTTCCTAGGAGGAGGCAGGTGTGTTTAGCACAGAAAAGCAGTAGCTAGAGAGGGTGGAGGCTCTTATCAACGTGCCTAAAGCCAGTAATTCTCAACCCAGCCAGAAAGGGCCTAGGTTTAGATAAGGCGGCTGTGCTGCCCCTGCCCGAACATTGTCAGGGGAAAACCCTTCCCTACAACACCTGAGCCCTGATAAAGGATAAAGGATCCTCTTAGAAACGCTCCTTCATTGTCCCTTCTGCAACCACCTTTCCTGGCTGCCCTAAGGGCACAAAAATTCAAATCTTTACTTCGATGGTTCCCTTCCTGTAGATCCTTCCTGTAGATCCGGCTAAAATTCCAGGGGGCTTATTTGGAGCTCCAGGCAACTGGTCAAACCCAAGTAACTCAGTTTACAAATGCTCACTGTTCTCAGGTCAGTAATTTGTGACTTTCTGGTTTCTTTTTCCTTAGTGAAAGTGTATTTTATTATTTTTTTTTAAAGATTTTATTTATTCATGAGAGACAGAGAGAGAGACAGAGAGAGGCAGAGACATAGGCAGAGGGAGAAGCAGGCTCCATGCAGGGAGCCTGACATGGGACTCGATCCCAGGTCCCCAAGATCCCCAAGATCAGGCCCTGGGCTGAAGGCGGCGCTAAACCGCTGAGCCACCCCGGCTTCCCTGAAAGTGTATTTTATAGACACCTCAAGTTCGTCCAACACTGCTCTAAATTCACCCCGCCCACCACCAACCACCTCCTCCTGCTCCAGATAGAGGCTCCACTTGACCGTGTTCAAGTAGGAGATGCGGCCACATGCCCCAGGTGCGCGCCTCTTCCCCCGCGAGTGCACAGGCGCCCCACCACTGCCTTCCGCACCATGCCTCAAGCCTCCCACCAAGGGGCCCGCAGCAGCCCTTCTCAGCAGGGCCTCTGAGCCAAGTAGGACTGGGTTCCTCCTTGATGGCTCTGAGTCAGTTCCAAGCCTTGGCTCTGGCTGCCTCCCCAACTTCACCTCCTAGAGTTCCCCCCTCAACCAGCCCCCTTGCTGTCCCTCCACACCTCCTGTGCTCCTGCCTCAGGCCCTTTGCACTTCCGGCTTCTCCTTCCTGGAATGCTACCAAACCTGCCTCATTCACACCCAAGTCTCCAGAGCTTCCGAGGTCCCTTTCCAGAGAGGCCTCTTCTAACCAGCTGCAGAGTAACCCACCACTGCCTCCTTACCCTACTTTCTTCTCAGGATGGTCTCTCCTGTTCTCTCTCCCTTAGCAGTCTCCATAGCTTCAATAGTTTATCATATAAAATTACAGGTCTGCATTAAAAAAAAATTATCTGCCTTGCCTCCCAGGCCAGGGGTCAGCAAAGCATGGCCTGAGGGCCAAATCCCCACAGCTGCCTGCTTTTGTAAATTTTGTTGGAACACAACCAGGATTATTGCCCAACGTGTCTTGTCTGCTGCTTTGGGGCTACAAGGCCCATCGAGTCGTTGTGAGAGACTGTATGGCCCACAGGTTTAAAATAGTCACCAGCTGGCCTTTCCAGAAAGCTTGCTGTCATTTGTTCTTTGCCAGAGGTGGGAAGGGGTAGAAGAAAGAGGAAGGAAGAGAAGGTATCTCCCGAAGAGGCTGTTCAGGTAAGAGTTGTACTTACCAGCTCCGTGGTCCACAGCCTGAACCTCCCCCCTCCAGCCCTTTGGAGCTCGTCGTGAGACAGAAAAGCCAAGGGAATCTGATGGCTTCTGTGAACAACCCAAGAGCCGTTCTTGCTCGGCTTACAGCTGGCTCCCAGGTCAGGTACTGTTCTCGGCGTGTCTGGGCAGGCTCTCCTCAGTGGCCCCAGGATGGCTGCCAGTGGCCCCAGGATGGAGTCCCACCAGCTGACGCGTCTCCCCAGGGTCCTGTGGACAGGGACAGAGGGGGCTCTGGCTAGTGGGCCCAGGCCATACACGTCAGCCCCTGGAGTCTGTTCCCTAAAAAGGGAAAACAGACCTCGAAACGTTTTCACTTCCGAGGGCCCTTTCCGCAGCGGGAAAAGGAGGTGGTCACAAAAATCCACGACGACTAACAACTTCACTGGTATTTTTAATAGCACATTAACAATATACAATTAACAAATGGGGGGAAAATCACAAGCTTCTTAAATCTTTGCTTTTATGCTTTTCCTCCTTGCCATGTCAAACATGTTCACTGCTCTTTTATCTCAGTCGCTGTATCAACACTTACCAGCTGCAAGTGACGCTGACAGTGAATTTGGTTTCACACACAAAAAGGAGGAATTGAGGGATAAATGGAGTAAAACCCAGTAGTTTGCTAAATGCCATTTACTCTGCCATCAAGGCTCAGGACCATGAGGATCTGGGCATGGGTGGGGAAGCTCGGTGAGGCTGCCACTTCGCAGCCAGACTGTGCGGGAACTGCCCATTTTGCTTAAAGTGAACACAGTGAGAAGGATGACAAACGGCACATTTCTCTACTTCATCATCGAAGATTTCTGCTTTAATCTTTAAGAACGAGCGGGGCCTTCACTTGGTCAGCCACCTCCTTGCCGCTCAGCGCCTCGACAATCGCAAGCGCAAACTCAAAGCTGGTTCCAGGCCCACGGCTCGTGAGGATCAGGCCATCCTTCTCCACACGGTTCTCAGAGTAGCTGTAATGACCTTCAAAGTAAGAACAAAAAAGGGTTACATCCTAACAGGCTCATATAAATTTCAAAAAACCAAAAGCCACCCTGTCACCAGCCACAGGAGAAGTTTCGGGAGACACTCGGAGCTCTGGCAAGGAGGTGCCGAGACTGAAGCAGCCGCCTGCCGCAGGGAGGCGAGGACAAACAGCTGTTGAAATGAAATAGATAAGGACACCTAGGTTAAAAGCAGTTGCGAAAGGCCTTGTACGTGCGAGGGTGAGTAGGAGTGAAGGCCGATTATTCACGTTTCTATCATCAACAGATGCTCAGGGGTCCGCCCGAACACTGGCATGCCGGCAGGTAAGCAGCGCCTGCCACCTCAGAACGTGCTGTCTTGCCACCAGCAGTAAATGTTTTGAGCTGAAGGCCCTTGCAAAACAGCACTCGCTGGGAGAGGCTTCCTCTGGAGCCCCCTCTACCGCCTGAAGACAGGTCCTCCTCGGCTGTCGTGTCCCCTCAGGAGTCCATCAAGTGGGGAGGAGGGACTCATGTCCTGGGAGAGGAGACCAGAAGTCCACGCCACACACAGGCTTTGTCACCAACAATCACACCTCCCATCTGTTCTCCCAAGGGCCCTTTCATCTTTCTTAAAAACCATTTACTCCCTCCTGAGAGGCCCACCTTCCCTTCCCCTTGTCAAGCAGGCTCCGTGTCACACATACTCCATGTAAGAGAGTGGACATGCCTGCCAAGCAGACTTCCTATTGTACAGACTCCGTGTCACACACTACCTATCATATAAACTGTTACACAGACTCCCTGTCACACCGATTCTCTATCATACTCTGTCATGCAGACTGTCACAGACCTCCTGTTACAGACTCCTGTCATACAGACTTGTCACAGAAATGCCTGCCAAGCAGACTTCCTACCATACAGACCCTGTGTCACAGACTACCCATCACAGACTCCCTGTCACACATACTACCTGTCACAGAATCCCTGGTACAGACTGCCTGAATCACACACACTCTGCTGTCTCAAAAACAACCAATGTTCTAAAAATTACATAGGACACGCAGGGAGGGGAGGAGGCGGATGCACAGAGGGAGCAACCATTCATTTCTTGGACACCCCCTTCCATGTTCCCCAACTGGCTTTTTGGAGGCAAATATAATAAAACAAGAATGTGCTTCTCCTATATTTGAATTCGGTGAACGATGTGACATCGGGACAAATCACAGCCACAAAGCTGGGCTTCCTCAGCATCAGCTTCCCCAATGCCTTACCCTCTATAGAAGTCATCAGCAAACCCACCCTGTGCATGGACTGACTAGGCCTGAACTCATGACCTGGCCCCCCTCCTTCCCCAACCTGTTCCCACTGGGCTCCCACCTGGCACTTCCTGGCCCCCCTGCTCCCACTGTCTGGAAAGCTCTCACCTCCTCCCACCACCCCTCAGAGGAAGCATATGTGATCCCTCCCTCAATCGGGTCCCTCAGGTACCTCCCAGCACTGACACGATATGAAAATAGTCCCCATTTGCTGTCTGCTCTTTAAAAGGCTGGGCCTTGGGACACCTGGGTGGCTCAGCTGTTGAGCATCTGCCTTCGGCTCAGGGTGTGATCCTGGGGTCCGGGGATTGAGTCCGCATCAAGCTCCCTGTGAGGAGCCTGCTTCTACCTCTGCCTGTGTCTCTGTCTCTGTGTCTCTAATGAATAAAAAAGAAAAAGCTGGGCCTCCATCAGCCTCCTGTGGCCTAGAACACTAACAGTACCACGGAGATGCCCCTAAGTATCAGGCGAACCTATGAACATTCCTGTCTTCTCCTCTCTGCATCTGCTGCCTTCATGCAGGATCTCCGTGTTCCAGCCCTCTGATCCAGCTGCCCTTCTTTCCACTCCCTGCTCAGCCCACAAAAAATGTCACCTTTCCAAAGTTTACGTCAGAACATAGCCAGTTCTGTCCCCAGGAGAAGCTTCTGCCAACTTTCTCCAGCACCTAAAGGTGACTCTGTACTCCACATCCTGCTGGGCAGGCCCCCTCTGGGTCTGGCCTGCACAGAGACTGGACTGGAAGGAACCAAAGAAGACAGTAGGAGCTACTGGTGACCTGGGTATGGACAGTGGTGACAGGGAAGAAATGAAGGTTCGCAAAAACTCTTAGAGACAAAATGCCCAGAGCTCAGTGCTGGACTGAACGTGGGAAGGTGGGGAGAATGACTCTAGCTGTCTGTCCTAGGTGATGGAGGGGGTGGCGGTGCCACACAGACACCACTCTTCTGTTGTTCACGCCCTTTCCCAGTGATCACAAACACCTAGAGTAGTTGCTATCTTACTAACCTCACCAGAGATCAAGTCACCCACTGAAAAACCCAAATACAGCACTTCACAAATGTACACTAGTTACACTACTGTAGAGAAGAGGACCTCTAGTTTGAAGGGAAAAGGCTTGCAAAATCTAACGTCATTTACTGATGGTTAAACCGGGCCAAGATGGGATCCCTGGGTGGCGCAGCGGTTTGGCGCCTGCCTTTGGCCCAGGGTGCGATCCTGCAGACCCGGGATCGAATCCCACATCGGGCTCCCGGTGCATGGAGCCTGCTTCTCCCTCTGCCTGTGTATCTGCCTCTCTCTCTCTCTCTTTCTCTGTGACTGTCATAAAAAAATAAAAAAATAAAAAAAATAAACCGGGCCAAGACAATTTTAGACGCTAAACCAGAAAACCGGCTGGGTCCAGTCTCCCAGAGCTATGAGATGGACTGCCCAGACTGCGGCGGTGTGAGGCAATTTTTAAATGGCTCACCGGACAATCTCTTTGTGGGGAAAATATTACAAACACAGCGTAGACTAGTTAAAGACATTTCAAGGTTCCATGGTTCAAAATTTCAACCAGGAAGAGCAGAAAGGTCTACACTTACCAACTACCTCCACCTAGTGGCAAGGACAGACAAAGACAACGCACACACACCAGGCCCACCAGCCCCGTGCATACACACAGCTGATTCAGACTGGGGAACTCTGCATATCTACACCCCACAGTCACTGGCATAAAGCATTAGTTATTAATTTCTTGTTAACTTTAAGCAAGCACCCCAAAGCTGGGAAGTCTCTTCAAAGGAAACCCAACCGGGGACCCTAGACACGAGGGGTCAGCACCAAACAGCTGCTTTTACCGGCACACATGGCACCTACCAGGTCAGTGGCTCTGTAACAGCAGAGCACTTGCTATACAGACCTGAAGTCCCTGAGAGCCTGAAATATTTACCATCTAGCCCCTTAAGGAAGTCACTGACCTCTGAGCACAGCAGCTCTGGGTTCAACTCTGAGGGCTGATGTTTAGTAGGTGTCTGTGATCTCTTTGAGCCTCACTTTCCTCTTCTGTAAAATGGGGAGGATACCAACCTCCCAGGACTGCTATGGGAGTCCAGTCACATGGATACCAGGACCAAGTGGTAGTGTTATTACAACAGGGTACTCAGCCCAGAGCTGGGCATGGACCAGCTCCCCCTTCCCCTGTGCAGGCTCGTGCCAGGCAACATTCTGTGTGCATTACACACACAGTAACTCACAGGGCCTGTCAACAGTGCCATGTGGGGGGGGGGGGAGGGCACTGGGATCCTTAGAGGACAGGTAAGAAACTTAGAGGACAGGTGAGGCTGGGCGGGGGAAGGAGACTGCCCACAGCCAGGAGCCACACCCACAGGGCCTGGCCCAGGGGACGCAGCTCTTCACTGCTCAGCTACAGGATGGGGCCTTCAGATGCTTGTTAGAACAATGGACAGGTAGGAAATGAAAAGATTATCAAAGTCACTATTTCTTCATCTAAGAACTGAGAAACAGGAAGACCTTGTCCTTCAGATTGAATTGCTTATCTGAGCAAAAATGTCACGCTGATCTAAGTACATGATGAGGACAAGGAGGAGGAGGACCACAGGAGACACCCAAGAGGTGACGACAGCTCCACTTCTCGGAGCGCTCTGAAGGGGCAGATGTTTCAAACATTTTTTTTTTCCCCTCACAGTAGGATTTACTGGCTGAACTCAATACCTCGTAACTTAAACATGTGTGGGAGCCTCACTGGGACAGAGGCGGGGCCAGAGTTCCAGCCTGACTGTGGGCAAGTCGCCTGGCCTCTCAGAGCTGGTATCCTCATTTGTGAAGTCAATACCTGCCTTGCTAGGCACCAGTGGAGATAATGCTTGTGAATGTACTTTATAAACCTTGAGAGTTAGCAATCTAATCTTCCTCTATTCCTAATCAACCTCAGTGTTCTTGAGGCATTACAGGGAAACAGACACAACAGATCCACCTTCAGATAAAGAAGGAACGTGGCCTACTATTCGACCCTTCCCCCCAAATGTTGTAACTACTAAAAAGGAAGCCTGATTCCAATCTGACTCTCCAGAACCTATTAGCTCCAAGTAAATTCTATTTCTACATTAAAAAATGCCCAGCAGCCAGGGCCTTTTAATTAAAAAAATAACTTTTCACACAGATGGTTTTACTGACAACTTAGTATCTTTCTAACAACTAAAATAAAGTTAGAGACTTTTAAGAAAATACTACTTTGGATCAAATTTAAGAATATTTACAATCTGGGGCACCTGGGTGGTTCAGTGGTTGTGTCTCTTTGGCTCAGGGTGTGCTCCTGGAGACCTGGGATTGAGTCCCACATCAGGCTTCCTGCATGGAGCCTGCTTCTCCCTCTGCCTATGACTCTGTGTCTATGTCTCTCATGAATAAATAAAATCTTTGGGAAAAAAAATATTCAGAACGTGCATCAGTTAGCACGAACACTTAGGTAAATGATGGACTCGGGGAGCTGACAACGCATAAGGGTAGGTTCATGGACTGTAACACAGGTACTGCTCTGGTATGGGAGAGGAAGGCAGGGAGACTGTGGGGGGGGGGCAGGGCATGTGTGGGAACTCAGCATTTTCTGCTTAATTCTGCTGTGAACCTAACACTGCTCTAAAAAGCAAGGTCTGTTACTTAGAAGGAAAAAGCACTACAGTGAAAATGTACAACTTCACGTGGCTGCAGAGAGAGTGTAAGAAATGCTACGGCCCTCTGTTGTTTTAGTTCAGAACCAGCCTCCAGCAGGACTGAAAGAGGGGAGAAAATATATCTCTGGCACGGATGTTTCCAAAGCAGTGCTGATGTTACTGTTTTGTCTTTTTGTTTATTCACTGAAATAAGGCTGGCTGATGTTTTACCTGGAGCCAGTCACAGTCTCCTTGCTGGCCAAATGCCAACTGAACCACTTTTGGCTTCTAACTGGAAATTTTAGATGTTCTTGCAATGACCCACACTAGTGTGAGTTTTCTTTCTCTGTGCAAGTTCCTGGGCCTCTGCCTCTGTTACAGACACTACACGGACAGATGGCAGAGGAAAACACCACCTGTCTGACAAAAGACACTATTTGGTTGGTGTTCGGAATGTCACACTGAGAAGCGCTGGCTGTTATGAGGGAGGATCAGTCAGTACATAGTTGTACATTCAGATAGTTATACTGCTTTGCTGTGAATTATACATTGCTCTCTACTTAAAGAAATATTCAATAGATGACTCCCTCCCCCACTGCCAAAAAGATACAATCTTAAGTTTAAAAAGCAAGCTGCAGAACAATACATTTAACAGATCTCATTTGAGTAGAAATATTAAACTGCAAAGGATAAAGAGTATGTGCAGAGAAAATCCTGGGGTTACACAGAGAACTTTCTAACAAAAGTTACCTCTGAAAAGCAGAAAAGGGGTGAGGAAATAAGAAAAGGCATATGTATGTTTTTACCTCACCCCCTACCCATACCATCTGCACTCTACCTGGAATAAAAATTATACTTATAAAGATAAATTAATAAAAATTAGCTGTCTAGCTGGTATTTATGAAAGAAACAAGTTATCCAAGAGGGTGCCTGGCTGGTTCAGTCAGTTGAGCAACTGACTCTTGGCTTCAGCTCAGGTCACGATCTCAGGGTCCTGGGATCTAGCCCCTCATTGGGCTCCATGCTCAGCGGGGAAGTCGGCTTGTTCCCCTCCTTTTGCCCCTCCCCACCACTCACACTCTCTAAAAGTAAATAAATCTAACACACAAAAAAAAAAAAAAAAAACAATAAAAACAAAACCCTGTCACCCAAGGAAACAGATCTGCCACCTATGAAGAGAGTAATATTCACTTTACTTTGGACTGTGGGCAAAAGGGCATTTTCTGAAATTGCTGTCGAGGTTTAAAGTTTACCCTCAGGCTGCTGGCAAAGTGTTTAGTAAAAAAATCCTAGTTAACCTGGCATTTCATAATCATTCCCATTGAGGACAATCGGGTCTCTGGCTGGCCTTCACTTAGTCCCTGAACCCCCATCAGGGCACAAACAGAGACAGGCACGCACCACCTCTGCCCCACTGCCTGTTCCCTCTCTAGGTGGAACACTTGAGAAGAAAGCAAGGAACACCTCACACCTGAACTCCTAGAGTCCCCCTACACAAGGTTATCCTGGGTGGGAAACAATACTAAATAGCAGCTGAGAAGGTCTTTCTGTATATTGAAAATAGAAGCATATACTTACTTCCACTCATCATTTTGTCTTTAGCAAGTGGGTGTGTTGTAACTTTGCTTCCAAAACCTATTTCATGAGCCAAAAGAGCTGTAGGACCTAAAAAGATTAATAAAAAAGACTTCAGTGTGGATACAAAAAAAACCCCAATGGTTTAAAAATTGCAGCAGAAGTATTCCTCAAAACCAGGAGGCTTTTTACCTAAAATATACTTATGATTCTGAAATTAAACACTTTTTCATATGAGGTAAAGTATGTTTATAATAAACCATCTGCTCGGCACATCTGGCAAAAGCGTACAAACTCAAAACACAACAATACCCATTTAATCATAAATCCTACCAAGCAGCATCCAGATAAACAGAGTGTGGCCCCCCTCAAGGAACTGCAGGCAAGGGTCCCAGGGGTCAGAGGGGAGGCCACCAAGGCCTTCCTCTTAGCAAATGATCTAGTCGCACATGAAAGGCAGCCAGTGCTCTCCCAACTTCTGGATTTGATTGCTATCTCAGACTACGGTTTTCTACTTGAAAATGAAAGATTAGCAGTCATCCCTCCACTTACCTACCCAAACATCCCAGGCGGTAGGATTATCACAACGAACAGGACATTGTCCAGCTCTGTGAACTGTCTAGAAGTCTGAGACGTAAGGGTACTAGCATTTCTTTATTAAAAACCACTTAAGATCATGCACAAATATCAGTAACGGTCCCCAAATAAGGACAGAACCGAAACTATTTTATAACATTGTTATGATGCCTTAAAACTTTAAAAAAGTAACTATTCTAACTTTTTTCTCTAAGCCTCATGTCACACCTAGAAAAATATGCTTCAGAACAGCAATGTGACCTTGAAAAATGGGTTAGGGTGCCATGGCTAAGAACCGAGGACATGGCCTGTGTGCTTTAGCTTCAGCCAACGCACACACCTGCTCTCACTGACCTTTCATTTATCAACACAGTTCCAAGGAAAAAGGAGTTGTAGACTATACCTACCGGCTAGATCACAGCTGCTGTTCACAGGAAGATCAACAAATAATACTTAATTACATGAGCCTTCCGCCTGACATCAGGCCAAGTCCCGATTTATATCTCCTAAATCAAAAGCCTCAAATAGATTTGATGTCTCTCTCTCCATCTTAATTTTATCCCACATACCAGACAGCTATGGTAGCAAATTTTAAGTCTGTAAAAACTGAATAATTATCACTCAATTTTTATTTGAATGGACTCATCAATTACCCTTCATTCTTCCTTTGTAAGATTTTAAAATATAAGAAATAATTCTCTACATGATCTTGGATTTAAAAGTGAATCTTGAGAAGCAACCATTCAGTGAAGAGAGAGTAATCGTAGTGAGTTAGGAATTTTTAGGCCGTTACCTTCAGCAAATAAAACTGCTGCCTACAGTAACATTAATAAATTTCTGTTTCGGTTGAATGTAGGACTTTAGTGACGCCTTACTCATCATGGTAAGCCCATAATTACTGCTTTCTGGGGCTTAAAAATCCTATTTGGGGAATTCGAGAAGAGATATCTACCTGCCATTACTTGAGACTGGCAGATGAAAATGTTGCTGAGTCTGCAGCAGGGACCCAGCTGAGTGAGAGCAGAGGGCACCGCAGACAGGGGCCTCTTGGGCCGCCACTACACTGAAGCCAACAGCGCCACCATGTGGTGATTTACGGAGAGAACACCACGCAGTCAGCCCAGGCCCTCCAGGTCCCAGGGCTCAGCCAGCCAGGCACCTGACAACTCCTGGGCCCCTCACCTCCAGGCTCCTTTCCCTACCTGACCCAGAGTGAGTATCATTTTATTTTCTGATCAAGACAGTCTCCCTTCCAGTCTTGGTTTCGGTCCCTCCACATCAGGGGCTAAGCAAACACTTTTTCAGCTCAGTATGCAGCTCCCAGCCCCTAACTGCAACACTTATGAATCACCTCGTTTTTCATCACATCTCCTATTTTTGCTGTACCCAGAGGACAGTACAGGATATTCTACAACACAAACAGAAGGCTAGCGTGCTGTTTATGGCTAACATCGATTTAAACGATTATAAGGTCTAAGCTCCTTAGCATGGCCTTCCAGCTGCTTGAGCATGAAACAGTGAGCCAGATGTAGCTAATAATTCTGCCCCCTTAGCGACACAGAAAGACCAACTGACATGTGGTTTTCACTTTCAGCAGAGCATGAGGGAACAAATCCAGCACAAACCCTTCCTTTCTTCCTTCCACTAGGGAAACTAAGGATGAGGCTGTGGCCAGGTGCTGGGGGCAATGAAACTAAGTCCTCACATACCTAACAGGACCTAAAACTTCCTACCCAGAGGGATGGAGCTGCCTGGGCTGCAGTGACTACAGTGTCCTTCAGCCAGAAAGCCCTGTGCCCTGAGGGTAGGTCAAAAGGCCAGTGCTGGCTGGAACCCAAGGACCGGGCCTGCCAGTACGGTCACTCTAAGGTCCTCGAACATCCAGGTCTTAGGACCCTTGAGCTCTTATGTGGGTTACAGCTATCAGGAACTGCCGTGTTAGAAATCAAAACGGAGATTTTTACAATACTTGAGCATACATGCCACACCCATATGATGGCAGCATCCCACTGCCAGGTCACTCCTGTGAGAATGAGAGGGCAAAGAATGTCTTAGTACCTGCTTTCACCTTATGATACTTTTGAAAGAACTCCGAGAATCTCCGCTGTAATTAATGCAAAGTCCCCAGGATCCCCGGCTTATAACTTCTTTAACAAGTCCACTCTACTGAACAAAACATCATGTCATTTGATCGAACCATCCATTTATTCATTTTATTTGTTGTTTTGACAAACATTTCATAAAGACCTAAGCACTGGCTAAAATTACACTCTGGAAAAAATGCAAGATTGCAGAATATCACAATGCTAGAGCATTAAGACTGAATTTTACAACGGTATCAGAAATCAAATCATTACTAAGTTTAAAAGATGTGGGGACATCTCTGAAGCACCAACAACCTTCTTCTAAATTACGTGACAGATATCACGGTGCCTAAAATCTAACACTTAACACTGAGGATCAGATGGAAAGCACCCGAGGCCTCTGAATCCGTAGGGCAAGAACAGGACAGAGCTGTTATGTTTATGTCTGACCGATTCTTGCTGACTGGCTGCTGGCAGATACACTTTCTGGCACAGAGATTTGCTGGAACAAGCTGTTTACTGAATTCCAGAGGGCATTATTTTCCTCAGAGGTCAACCAAACATGGAAAACATTAAGTTTCACGGAACATAGACCAAAAGTACACAGAGGCAGAAAACAGAACTGTACTCGTTTCTGAAATGACACCAACTTCATGCTACCCAAACGAACATGCCAAGACGGATACCCTTCATGCTTTGAAGGGAAAGAGGTATTTGGAACAAAACCTTCTAATTCGAGACTACCCCATCACATTTTTTTTTTTTGAAGAAAACCAACAGCACATTTTATCCAGGACAGTTCTGCCCATTACCTGCACAGATGGCGGCTATGAGGCCCTTTCTGTTTTCTTGTTCCTTCAGTATCTCCTTCACGGCAGCAGACTATTCAAAGAAACCCCAAACACATCAAGTTATCATGAAGCCACAAGCCAATCTCCAGCTGGAAAGCTTAGGAGGATCTGCTTTTAATTTAAACTGCAAGACCTTCAGTCTGTTTTCTGACAATATTTCTAACTCATTAATAGAAAAATTAGCAAATTCATACTCTTTCCACATCGTTAAACCTGATCAAGGCATTTATTGCAAGAGAAAGGCATACTTTAATTTTTTTTTTTTAATATTTTTAAAGACGAGATGAGAAAAGCAACTTCCCTGGGGCAAATTGACCCTTGCCATCTTGTGATCCTGGGAGAAAGGAGGAGAAGGGTGCGTGGTGTTTTCAGATGGCAGAGGAAGGAACAAGATCCGGCAGAGTGCCAGGTATCTGACTCAACCTGCTTTGTAAACATCTATTGGCTGTGCCCCTTCTTCCTTTCCCGCTATTCCTGCAGGCGGACCCCTCACAGAAGACTTCAATGAAGAAGCAGTGGCCTCTTCTGATGCCATTTTTCACCTCTGCTGGCAGTTTCAGTCCCCTGCCCCCAGCTCCAGGGTCTCTTAGCTTTCTACTCTTAAACCTTCATGAAACACAAAATTAGATTCACAGAATATGTTCATAAATAATAGTTCCACCAATTCCACTTGTGTAGTAAATATCACTAGAGATGTTTTTAAGCTAGAACACCATTTTGTTTCACCTGCTCCTAGTTTATTCCCAGCCTCCTTCCCGAAATATTTTAGTAACAAAACCAACATAACACAGGCAGATACTGAAATACTTCCTTTATATGGTCTTTACCTCACATAAATTCTGTGCACCCAGATTACCTCCCGGCAGAATCACTACGTCATAAGGTCCCTGTAGTTAAGACAAAAAAAAAAAAAAAGAGTGAAAACATTTCATTTGAAAGGTGCACTACAGTGACAGTCCTAAATGTGGGTCAGAGCAAAGAACTGTTAACAGAAGAGCAGTTAAATAAATCAAAATATATCCCTACAACACAATGTCGTAACTAGCAAAAAAAATCAGAATATGGTAATGTGAAAGGATGTCCATGTTGCAGAATTACAGGTGTAGCATGATCTCACTCTTCTAAAAAGAAAAAAAGGGGCATGTGGCTGGCTCAGTCGGGGGAGCATGTGACTCAATGTCAGGGGCTGTGAGTTCAGGCCCCACGTTGAGTCTAGAGCTTACTTTAAAAAAAGTATGCAGTTGGCAGTTGTGTGTATATGTCCCTGACATACATGTGTACGGTCTATAGATACTCACAGACAAAAGGCAGCCAGGTGCTAATGGGGTATGGTACAGGACAGGATGGTGGCGAGGGGACATAAGAAAGGGACATTTAACATTTGGACTTTCTATAAGTCTACAGTGTATAGGAGTTATTTTTTCAACAAGAATGCACACAATCTTAGAATTAAAAACAAATTTTAAGTGAAAGGCACAGACAAGTTTTTACCTCTTTGAGAAGTAGGACTTAGGGGAGATGATGGCAGTATTTTATTGTCCTAAACACCCAACACCCCCAGAAACCTACTGAGGGCAAACTTGCTGAAATTATGAAATGGAAATTGGTTTAACAATATTTTAAGATGTGAAAAAAGATTTTTTAAAATGTAGTTATTTAGCAGATCACAAAGTGAAAATTTAGTACACACTTAGGGCAACACATACTGCTTAGAATTACTCTTAAAGACAATGAACATCCTCCTGTCGTTTTAAAACCAAGCAAAACTACAAACTACACAGAAAGTGTGAAGTGCAGAATTTCTTTCACTCCTTTTAGAATCTGAAAAAACAGACACAAAACGTAACCACTGTTCTAAAATACCCAGACACCACAAGATGAAAAAGAACAAAGAGGGAATATTTTCTTCTACTCAGCCACTTTTAACAGGCTATTTAGAATGTTTCAATAATTTGTATGTAAATACCAATACTCCTATACTCCACAATCTGGCACTGAAATAACATGAATTTATTAGATAGGAATAAACTTTTCTCTGTGCATTTGAGGACAGCGAGCATGGGAATCATGCTCTGGGCTCCTTCGCAGGGCACAAATGGATCTGCATCCATGAGCTGGCTCTGCTTGTTTTCCTGTCACGTTGACACTCCAAGAGCATACAAGTCACACCCACTATCACAATGGCCATTAAGCAGTGAACTACATGAAAGGGTGTGCAAAAGTGCCTACGCACGTTTGGGTGGGCTCGCTCCTGAAGAAGGGATCTCAGCTCTTGACGGAGTCCCAAGTGTTAGTTGCCATCAAAGGTAATGGTCAAGATAAAGAAAAAGTAGCATAATTTAACTAGAATTCTTACTCCTCCCTTCATCCCACCACTAATCAACTACAAGCTGTTCCACATAAAATAAATCACACAGCTATGTCTATATCACTGAAAATGGAAAGGTAAAAAGCAGCTTTCAAATAAAGAAACAGGAAATGTGGCAGTTGGTTCCTTGTATCAGGTAATGAAGCTATAACAGGAGGCAAAGGGGCCTCTGAGGCCAGATGAACACTGATGAAAGTGTCCCACCACCAAGCACAGGCAGCAGGAACTGCCAGCTTCCTTGAATACAGAGTCCTTGACTTCCCTGGGCTTATTATAGTGGGGAAGACATCCAAGGAAAGTAACTTCATTAAAAGGCTGTGCCAACAGCCTGAGATATAATCAAAAGACATTTCAAGAACTTGATAGAGAAGCCATAGGAAGGAATAATTCCATGTATGGAGAACAAACCTCTTTTTTTGCATCTTCCAGACTGGCATCAGGACAAATGATGACGTCTCGGCTACACTGTACTGGGTCTTTCCCAGCCAGACCCGCAACGGTGACTTTAATCTAAGAGAAAGACGTCATCACATTTAACATTGAAACATAAATTTAGAGTAACATTTTCACAGCTGCTGTTTTAAAATAACTTGGCAGGAAATACTGCAATGAAACCATGCTGACTTTAAGCTACTAACTTAGCTAAATATATTTAATAACTAGGTCTGTCCCAGTATGTCTGGGACAGTCCTGATTTACAGATACTATCCTGGTCCCCTGCCTGGTTAGTGTTCCTTTCTCCCACAAGCTTTCTGGTTTGGGCCAACATCCTGCTAATAATCCATCTTGCAAAGTTACTGTTGCTATTTAAATCTCATGGTATTTCCTTCAAATAGAAAGACAAGTTAGAACAATGAAATACTACTTTAGCTTGCAAAAAGTTAATAAAACCAAGAGCTAGTCCTGGGAAAATGGGGATTGTCCTACACTGCTGGTGGGCCCACACGCTGGTACTCTGGGGGAGTCACTGGACAAAATCTGGTAATGCTAACTATGGGCTGTCCTTTGGCCAAGCAATTCCATTTTCGGGCATAAAAACCAGGAAAACCTCCCACACATTTGCATAAGGAAACCTGTACAAGAATATTAGAGTATTGTAATGTCCTGAAACACCCTAACAAAAGAATGGAGAGACAGCAGCAGATTCATACAATGTAACAATAAGCAGCAATTTAAAATTAAAAAACCGGATCTAGATGTGTCTTCATTTAGGAGAACCAGAGAGATGAAGGGCTAACAGAGTCTGGGGCCAGACTGCTGGGGTCTAAGTACTGGCTCTTCTCCTCACTAAGACAACATGGACACTTCATGTAGTGTCCCTGTGCCTTAGTTTCTTCAACTGTACAAGGACGGTCAATAACTCATAAGGTTGTTATAGGACTTAAGCAAGTTCAGGTGCTTAGATGAGCATCATCTAGCATCAGTAAATACTACTCAAGTGTTCACTAGGGATAGATATATACATATATGCACACACACAGAGAGAAATAGATGTAACTGTAAAATGTAATTGTAGTGTAACACTACTCTGAAGACATCCATGGGATGGATACGCATTAATGAGAGAACAGAGTTATCCCTGGGATTGAAGGGGAATAGTATCCAGGAAATTTACAAAGAGGGCTGTGCAATGCTTTATTTCTTTTTAAAGCATCTGTTCCTCAAGAAGAGGAATATTCACAAGAAATTTGGCAAAATGTTACAAAAAATCACATATTTACAAGAAATACGGCAAAATGTTAACAAGTATTAAATGCGGACAATAGACAGGCATTTATTGTTATATAGTCTCTGCATTTTTGTGTTTGAAATATTTTATAAAGTACACTGAATATTATTAAAAATGCCTTCAAAACCCAAAAATGTTTGAAAAGGGGGAGGGCTGGAAAATGTTGGGAGGACTTACTCCAGCTCGTCTCATGACATCTACAGGAATGACTGTCTCCATCTCCTCCGCTCCTTTGGCCAGGATGACCAGAGCTCTTTTCGAAGCCATTTTTATGTTGTATTTTTAAAAGACTTAATTGGGAGAAGCAAAAAAAAAAAAAAAAAAAGATTTTCAAAACACTTGCATGGCAACCCTAAGATAGTCAAAAACCTCAAGTTTAAAAGAAATCTCAAGTTCAGGAACACTTTTAAGCAAAGTAAGTGCCTCCTAAGGAAAAGATCCTGAGAGACAAAACAGTACGTGAAAAAAAGCATTTTAAGGTTAACAGTGGTTCACACCGAATTTCAGCTGCTGTTATTTTTGAGATGAAAACACAGCAGGGTTGCTAACACGTGTCAGTACCGTTTGGATTTTCTCTGACCATGTTTTTTGTTTTGTTTTGTTTTGTTTTGAACTCAATCTACAAAACTTACTGCAACCAGTACTTTCTAAAACACACATACGTGGGTCTTGCATTTCACACGATGCGGGGAGATAAGCCTTATTCTCGGAAGCACTATTTTCAGAGAAACGTCCAAACTTAATTTCATGGGCAAAAAGCTACACACAGTCTGCGATTTTTGGAGGGGATTTTCTTTGAAGTTCCAATAACTGCACAAAACCCTCTGGAAAGTTAACAGTGTTAAATATTTCACCATGTTTTTTTTTTTTTAAATGATGTTGAAAGGTGGGAATTCCCCCAGTAAACTCAACGCAACCGGACCCTCTCTTTGCACTTGGCTCTTCGGGAAACGGCAGCCGCCAAGCGGGGCTCCAACAGTTTGCAGCCTGTTCTTTCTGGGGAGTCCGCTGTGCGCGCAACACAGACGCTAAGGAAACCACGTCAGCAAACAGAGCGCTGACTAGTTACAAACTGGGGGGACGCCATGCACACAACCCCGGGGGGCCCGAGGCCGCCCGCCCGCAGGCGCGGCGTGACTGCGACCTGCGGCGCCCCCTTCCGAAGCCCGCTCCGGGCTGCCCGTGGCCCCCTCGCCGCCAGCGCCGCCGCAGCCGCAGCGCCCCCGCAGCGCCCCGAACCTCGCCTCTGCCCACAGCCCCGGCACCTCAGCCCCGTCGGCAGCAGCTCCGCGCCGGAGACTACCGAACCCAAACCGGCCTAAACGGGGACGTACGTGAGTACGCACGCACGCACGCACGCACGCACGCCCCCCGAGCGCGAGCCCTCGGCGCCGCACTGCGCAGACGCACGCCGCCCGGCTTCTGGTTCGGCCCCGCCCCTCCCCCGGTACTGCGCAGACGCCCGTCGCGCAGACCCCTCCTCGTCCTCCCTTCGTCCCCAGGCCCTGCACTGCGCAGACGCACATCGCCCGGCTTCTCTTTCTGCTCGTTCCCCCTAACCACGCCCCCCTCGGTACTGCGCAGACGCACGCCGCCCAGGCCCCGCCTCCTCCCCAACAGCGCACGGCGAAGGCTGGTGGCGCTCGCTCACGTGCGTCACGTCCTCCCGGACCCACGTGGGTTAGAATCCTCCCTGGACAGCTGGGGATGTTTCCATTTGGTGCACCCGGCACCACGAGAAGCCCGCGTGTTCGCGCAGCCTCACGAACGCTCCCCTCCCCCGTCGGCGCGGTCCGGCCCGCCGCTGGCGCCCACGGGCGTTAACCCGCCTGGGACCGCAGCCTGCCCGCGCGCGGTCCCCTCGGGAGCTGCGGCGCTTTGCTGTCAACAGACGTTTCCGTGGAATTGCACCTTCACGCTTCTCTCGCACTCTCGGCGTCCCTATCCGGGAGCGCCTTGTCGTTTCCCCCCGACCTGTTAGGACTTAAAGGTTTTCCCCATCCTGGGTCCCCACGGTGGGCGCCCGGTCCTCGGGATCCTGCGCTGCTCCCAGCACGGGTTTGCGTGCGGTGATTGCCCGTGTGATGGTTTCTCAAAGTTGTTTTTTTCCCCAAACATCCCAGCGCTACTGCTGCTGCACCCACAGGCTTAGAGCACTGCTGAGCACCCGGACCTGATTAGTACTTGGTGACATTTAAGTCAGAATCCCACACTTTGTTCTTAAAAGTTTGCATTGAATATTGATACTTTTACCCATTTCAAAAACCAAAGTCGGGCAGCCCGGGCGGCTCAGCTGTTTAGCGCCGCCTTCAGCCCAGGACGTGATCCTGGAGCCTCGGGATCGAGTCCTACGTCGGGCTCCCTGCATGGAGCCTGCTTCTCCCTCTGCCTGTGTCTCTGCCTCTGTGTGTGTGTCTTTCAGGAATAAATAAATCTTAAAAAAAAAAAAAAACCAAAGTCCTGAAAGTTAACGTTGAACCGATGGACTCCTTCCTATCCTTGTCCCCACTCTCTTCCACCATCCCCGCTCCCTGACTCCCTGCGGGTAACGTTATAGTCGTTTCCTGAGCATCTTTCCAGGATTTCCTCACGCAAGCACCAGCAAATACTTTGTTTTACATCTTTCGTATAGAAATGTAGCGGACTATATGCATTGTTCCGTCCTTCTCTCTCTGCTGCCACCTTAAGTGAATGTTGGAGATCTTTCCTTATAAAAAGGAACTTCCTTTTTTTTTTTTCTCAGACAGATAATATGCCATTGTGACCTGTCCCATAGTTTATTTTATCGGTGCCCTGCTGATAATACTTAGGTTATTTCCAGCCTTTTTTTTTTTTTTTTTTGAAGTAGGCTCCACACCCAGCATGGAGCCCAACCCTTAGTTTGAACTCTTGACTCTGAGCTGAAATCATGTCACATGCTTAACGGACTGAGCCACCCAGGCCCCCCTGCGGTCACTTTTTTTTTCTTTTGTGTGGACAGCACTGCATTGCATACCCTTATTCATACGCCCTACTTGTGTAGGTATAACTGGAGGGTAAATTCCCAGAAGTGGTAAATGCACTGGAGCAGCTCCATACCACTTGAGTCACTTATCACTCTCGCCAGTAATATGTGAGGTTGAACAGTATTTTAAAGTATGTCAATGTTTTTGAAGTTTCAGTTTAGATATTAAAGACGCCCTTATTTTCAAGAAATAACTTAACAGCACTTTAATGTTATTTCATAAGATCCTTACAATGGTGTTGAGAGTGGCTTTAAGATTTGCAAACAGATTTTTACAAATTACAACACTGCATTGTGCAAAATTTTTAAGTGTCTTTAAATAATCATTTGGCATTTTAAGAAAACATTTTGGGAGTTCTGGAATATCTTCATCTCTGGTTATTTGCAAAGGAAGCAGGCAAAAGCCATCCCCTTTCAGTTTTGAAGTATGGTGGCAAATAGGCAAGTGGTCAGACGTGTGTTTTCAAAAACCAAGGAGGAATTGAGCTAGTTGAAGGAAAACCAAGAAAAGATGGGCTGTTGTGGTCCAGTGCCCTAGTTAACTCTTGTAAGGAGACAACCATGCTGGTGTCCTGCTGCAGGATGAGCTAGCCAGCACAGAACAAAAATGGCAAAACAGAAGTTCTTAGCAGAAGGGAAAGAGAGAGAATGAACCTGACTTAAGATTCCTGAAACATCTGCATCACCATCTAGATCTGAAATGGACCTGGGTCATCATTGATTTTTATCAGATGAATAGCACACAGTGTTTACAACTCAAGTATTGCTTATGGTAGATTGGCTTATCTTTTAGAAATATTCATTCTTTCCTCACCTGCATGAGTGGCGGATACTCCCTGCCCCTGGACTTTGGCCTTGTTTATTTTTTTTTCTTAAGGTTTTTTTTTTTTTAATGTATTTGAGAGAGAGAGAGAATATGAGCAGGGGGGAGGGCAGAGAGAATGGGAGAAGCAGACGTCCAGCTGATGAGGGAACCTGATGCGGGGCTCATCCCAGGACCTGGGGATCATGATCTGAGCTACAGGCAGATGCTTAACCAACTGAGCCACCCAAGTGCCCCAGGTTTGGCCTAATAGAATGTTAGCAGGTGAGGTACGATCAAAGCCTTGAAAAGCATTGACCTGATGATCAGGCTTGCTCTCTTGTACTTTTGCATTGTCATAGGAAGAGCCCCTGGGGCTGCTGCTGCTTCCATTCAACCTGGGTTTCAATGAACATTTGTGGAACAGAGCTGCCCCAGTCAGACTGTTGTCCTCAGATTCTGTTATACTTTGATAGCTCAATGATACAGCTCTTAAGAGGCTCATAATGAAGAAGTCTTCTGATTTAGTTATTCTTGCTTTCCAGAGACAAATATTTTCAACTTTTAAAATTATTTCTTGTAAAAAATAAATAATAAATAAATAAATAATTTCTTGTAATTATCTCAGTACACCATAGGCCTGAATTGCATGGGTATGCTTATGTAGATTTTTTTTTTCGAAGAACACAGTTCCGTATTCTAAATATATTTTCTCTTATGATTTTCTTAACATTTTCTATTCTCTGACTTTATTATCAGAATACAGTGTATAGAAAATATAACAGAAAAAAATATATATTTATTCACTTTCTGTTATTAGTAAGGTTTCCGGTCACCAGTGGGCTATTAATAGTTAAGTTCTGGGGGAGTCAAAAGTTATATGTGAATTTCAGATCACACAGGGTGAGGGGTGTTTGGTGGCCCTAACCCTTACAACAATATGCTCATACTGTTATTTTTCCTTATTGGTTTTAGACATTATATATTAACTTCCTGGAAAACATACTTTTCATTTCACAGTGGCAGAAGTTGGAGTCTGGAGGGGTAAAATGACTGTAAAAGGTCCTGTAGAGTCTTGGTCAAAATCAGGTGTTCTGAGACCAAAGTTCATACTCTACCCACCATAAACTCTATCAGTATTACTCAATAAGTCCACAACAGTCATGACACTCTCCTAACTATATAGTTCATACCTATTTCTTATCACACATTTGCAGAACAAAACAAAAAAATTAAACCATTCACCAAAAAATGTTGCTCTATTACTGGCAGTGGAGACACCTCATAATTCAGTCTCTGATTTCCAGGCACAAAAACCTCATCCAATTCACCACTTCTTTTATTCAGCACTTGACAAGTCTTTGTGCACTGTAGGAAGTGCCAACTAAAAGTCTGGCTATTTTCACTGAGCTTAACATCTCCTTTTCTTGGGGCACTTGCAACATCTAATTGAAAGATACTGTTCCGCTTTGCTGAAACTCACAATCCAACTGCTGTTGATAATGTGAGTGAAGGAGTTCGAGACATGGTACCTTGGCATATCATTTGGAGTTAAAGGCATTTTTTTAAACAACAGGCGCAAGAAAGGCACTCAGATTCCCAGTTTTCCATCCTGAACGCAGAAGATGAAACTCTCAGGTGAGAACTGCCCTCCCAGTGTCAAGAGGAAAGAAGCATCACCAGAGAGACACTTGAATCTGCACATGGAGAATGGAAGAATTTGCACATGGAGACCTTGTTAAAATAACTCCTACCTTCCTTCAGTCTCCCTGGTTTACTATATCACCACTCTGTGTTCAACCCAATATGTAAACATTTAGCTTTTGCCACCTCTTTGGGTCCTCATTTTCTTACAAAGGCTCCTGGGTCCCGTCAGACTTACATTAAACTGTATGCTTTTGTTCTGTTAACCTTTTCATGTCCATTTAATTCTCGGGCCCTGCCTGCCAGAGACCCCAAGGAGGTGGAGGTAAAAAAAAATGTTTTGCCTGCCCTACATTAACAGCAGCCACCAGCGGCCATTCTGATCCTGGTTCCAAAAAACAACCCTTCCCCAAATTAGCCTGATCACGATAAATAGCAAAGAATCTGCAGCCAGATTACTGTATTATTCTTCCATGCCTCGCATTTTGCATCTCAGCTCACTACTCATTTTCTACGAATGTGAATGTATCTTGGATCTCGTCCATAGTATTTATCTAGCAGCTTGTCTTTGGTTCACTGTGTTTCCTTCTAACCCTGTGAACCCAGTAGGACCTTCCTGTCCGGTCGCTGCCAGAGGCCTGGCATCCGTCTGTTACAGTCCCTGGCACATAGCAGGTGCTCAGCAAATACTTGCTAAGCATTATCTTAGTCTCACCCTAAAGATGATGTTCCCTCCTTTGACTGTGGCTATCGATTAATACTTTACATGCGTAGAGCACTGCAGTTTACAATGGGGCCCCAACCGACGTCTCATGCCTATTTTAGTCTTTTCCAGGTTAAATTCATGTCGCCCGGCGGCGAACGGGAAATATTTTGTGCAGCGGCTCGGGTGACTTTATTTTCACCGTTTCCTCGGTTC